GATGCCTTTTGGTCCCGGTTGGTGTCACCAACCGGGACCAAAGGCCCTCCTGCCTGGGCTCGGTGCACCGGCCACGTGGAGGCACATCTGTCCCGGTTCCAATTAGAACTGGGACTAAATGAGGGAGGCATTAGTAACGACCCTTTAGTCCCGGTTCAAGAAGCGGGACTAAAGGCCCTTACGAACCGGGACAAATGCCCCCTTTTCTACTAGTGAATAACAGATTGACAAGAACATGTAAGCACGTAACTATACCATCTATCTATACACGTAGGCATCTGATGATGTCTGAACTGCTAATTCAGTAAATTGCTGTGATGGTTTGCCTGTTGGCTGTTGCTCTACAAAAATACAGTGCCACACCAACAACAATTGCCAGCCATGAACCGCCGCCACAAAATCAAAGGGAAAGAAAACAGACCACACAAACTTATTCAGATGAAACACTGCCATTGCAGTCTCACAAGACAATCTGTTTCACTTCACCGGAGCGAGAAGAGTGATGGATTTGGGGGAATTCGTACATCTTGAACGGCCTTTCTCCTTAGATTCTACACACCTCACAAGTTCCATGTCATGTGGTTGTGGCTTACACATGCTTGTATCTATACTAGCATAATGTCCGTGCATTGCTACAAAACTATAAATACAATTAGTTATGCCAGTGCTTAAGAGCATAATTTTGAGTTCGAGTCACATTTTTGCATTTGTTATTTGTGCATTCTGCAAGTGTTGGTCTCACATAAAAGTAGTATTGTATTTGTTTATTTATTTTAGACTTTTTTTTTGCGATTGTAAAGCTTCACTCATCAACCAGGAGCATTACAGTCTAGCTTACATAAGGCTAAGATGTGTTCATGGGCATGGCGCAGCCAGACTGCTTTGCGAGGCTGCCTCCCTAGTTGTGCAAGTGCATGACTAACACAGTTCAAACATCTCCTAACATGTGTTATTTCATGTGGTCTTCCTAAGCCCAGCATATGTTTTGCTTCCTCCACTATTGCCGCAGCTGGTGATCTATCAACTACTACGCCCTTGAGCATGCTCCATGCAATGGTGCAGTCCGTCTCCAGGATTGAAGGTAGCGTCCTCCACTCAAGTGTGAGTGAAATCCCTTCCTGACAAGTAGTGAGTTCTACCTCCAGTTCGCTCGCACATGATGACAAATAGCGGCAAGATGCAAAAATCACCTCTCCCTCAGAATTATAAAGAATCATACCAGCAGCTCATGTCTTGTCCGCTTCCACGAAGGCACCATCGAAAGTTCAGTTTGAACCATCCCTCCGGCGGTGCGCTCCATCTCTCCATCGATGATAAAATATTCAAGTTAATTATTTAATTAAGAAAATGAATTGTTAATTTAGGAAAAGCCTCTGTGCATTGCAATTTATTCTGCAACTCTTATGCATGTGTGAATATTTGTACCTTATGCATGTTTGTGTGCTCGCGTGCGTGTGCTATAGATAGATAGATAGATATAGAGATGGAGATATAGAGATAGAGATAGAGATAGAGATAGAAAGATTCCATGTGTACTAGATATGAAGAAATACCTCAAACAGTTACTACTAAATTCACCATGCAGCTCTAAATCTTCTAGTGGCGACCTTGCCTGTGGTCCGGTCTACTACTTCAGCATTTCCGAGTAAACCGGGTATACATAAAAAATTCCCATGCACCACGAGAATTCTATATATGGAGGACCAAAGCTACATAGCACACACCACACTAGCCTGATAGCTACCTAAGACACTCAAAGCAACCATTTAGAACATACAATGGCAAGAGCAATTGCAACAATATTACTCATGGCCATCGTGCTTGCTGCCACTACACCTAGGACAAGCACCATGGACATCACAGATAGGGACTTGGCGTCAGAGGAGTCCCTATGGGCACTATATGAGCGCTGGTGCGAGCATCACAATGCGGGACGCAACCTCAGCGACAAGGCCCGGCGCTTCAAAGTGTTCAAGGAGAACGCTCGCATGATCCATCAATTCAACCAAGGTGACACACCCTACAAGATGAGCCTCAACCTCTTTGGTGACATGACCGATGAGGAGGTTGACCACATGTATGGTAGCTGCTCCAACCTTAGGTCAGACTGTGGGAAGCGATGCCAAGACTGGTTCACACACGGAGACGTTACCGTGCCTGACAACTTCCCAATGCATGTGGACTGGCGCATGAGAGGCTACGGCCAACGGCCACCGGCGGTGACAAATGTGAAGATGCAAGGAGGGTGCGGGGCTTGTTGGGCCTTTGCGGTGACAGCAGCAGTGGAGGGCATCAACTCCATCAGGACTAAAAACCTGGTGTCATTGTCTGCGCAACAGCTGATAGACTGCGACAAGGGAAGTTTCGGCTGTCGTGGCGGCTACCTATCATCGGCCTTCAAGTACATGATCAAACATCGCGGCATCGCCACAGCTGCTAACTACCCATAAGTTGCCCATGAGCATGACTACTGCTTGAGGCCGAAGCGGAAACATGTCGTCACCATCAATGGCTTTAAAGAGGTGCCGCCAAATAATGAGATGGCGTTGCTGCAAGCGGTGGCGGCCCAACCTGTCATTGTGGCTGTCGACCCAAAGGCCTTCCAGCGCTATGGAGGAGGCGTCTTTGTGGGTCCGTGTGGGACGAATCGAACCCATACAATGACGGTGGTCGGCTATGGCACCACCCATGATCATGACCCCAAGAGACGCATGCAATACTGGATTATAAAGAACTCGTGGGGGACAAAATGGGGTGAAAACGGCTACATCCGCATGGTGCGCGGAGCCGGTCCCTCCAAGCAGGGCTTATGTGGCATCCTGATGGAAGCTTCGTACCCAGTGAAAAAATAGTAACAAAGGTGGGAATGATATCATGAAGATAATTTAATGACAGTCTATCTAATAATCAGACTGGTGCACATGTGTGTAATTAACCATATGATTTACATTCAGTGAACAGCTAGACTTACTATTGCCAAGAATATAAGGTGCATAAATTTCCACAAAAGTCAAACATATGTATGTTTGATGAGGATTCTATAATAAAATGTGAAGATCCGCAATAAAAATAAATAAAATATAACAATACATTTCATAACAGGTCTAATTATACATATGTGGTATTATAGATATTAATACTTTTTAAAAAATTGGACAAATATGCACAAGTTTGACTTTTCATAAGATAATAGAGCTTACATTTTGGTTAGGGGAGTACTACTTATAAAAACACTAGTTTGGTGAATCCAAATGATCTGAGCCATCCAACCACCTACACCCAACGTCTCACACTACACCAATAGTGTATTCATCACAACATCAATAATTTTGAAACCTGTTAATTACATTAATCATAATAAAAATGACATTAATTGTATTAAGCAGAATAAATCTTGGAATCAATATTAATTGCAGTTAATCTTGGATATTATCAAACTGGATGTTCGTGCACGTGCACGATTACTAGACATAATGTAGACTAGTGTTATTTGCTAGGTAGTGCAATGTCGTTGTTTGTACAGTTTGACCTATGTTTCCATATTTAGTTGTTTCTTTTAAACTTTTAGGTTGCTTGGCCCACTCACTAGACTCTACTCCCCTTTTTGCTAATGAAATGAACATCTGCGTGTGTTATTCCCAAGAAAAAGCAGCTTCACCTTGGGTCCAACTTCTAGAGATGATATAACAACACCCCACATATGTAAAATGCATAATGAAACATCTTGATGCTTCTTATCTGGGAACTACAACACTTAAAATGGCAAAAATATGTACAAATTGTTAGGTGAATTTTGATGAAGCAGGAACGTCCAAGAGATGCTATGTGCACTGACTTCGTATCCAAAAAGTTGGATTCGCAGTCTATCTGGGAGGACTAATTTAAATATGCATGGCCATCTCCTTTGTTGCTAGGTAACTATCACCACAGATGGGAGTACCAATAGGTTAATGTGTCATCAAGTGGTTACAACGCAAAATAAGTGTACACACGTTCTCTGTATACAGCCAACATGAAAAACGCACAATATAAGAAGAAAGCATTGAAAATGCTTATGTTGAGGGTGGAAGTCCTATTTCTAGACTATGCTGCCACCCATGTTGGGTAAGAATCTATTGGGCCATCTGCTCTAACCACGTATGCATTGCCGTAAACATCAATCAATACTCCATTATATGTAGCGTAGACAACGTACAAAGCCAATGCTTACAACGGTACATAACCTGTAAGGGAGATGAAGTTTTACTATTAGGAATATATCATTTTAACATAGCAAAAGCGACCATAGTAAGAGAAACGCTCCCACCCTTATTAGTGTACTAAACTTGTTAGCTATACCATCGAGCCAGTGACCATATATAGTAGCAACTTGATGGATACGAATTGGATGCTATTTGACGGATTTACAATGTTGAACGCATGAAAATTGCACTAGAAGAAGAGAATTAGGTTGTCTCATCATGAGCACAAAATCAATACTTCTTGCTTTCCAACCAATTATGAAGCGTGAGGTTCTCCTTTGTTAGTTCAACTCCACAACGATGGTACCACATAAAAAATCTTAACATGAGTGATCTATATTTTCCACTCGAGTCAAGTGCAAAAGCGCCTTATTCATGGAGACGACTGTGGAAGACCCATTTCGCTTTAGGTTCATCCCATCCTTGCTTCAGGTGCATCGAATCCAAATGGACTAGAAGATTGTGCCATGGCAGAAGGCAGTGGCCAAGCAAATCCTACCAAAAAGATATATCCGATGGGGAGGAGCTTAGAACTTGCAAAAAGAGTATCATCCTTATTGAAAGCAATTTAGTACGATGTTGGATAGTGTTCCGGATAGTAGAGTTTCCCAATAACTTCTCCCCCTAGAAGAAAATATCGGTATTATCCTCGAACATGAACGAACGAAAATTAAAAAAATCTCTCTTTGCCGCTAAGGGTCATGCCGAAAAATGCGATCCCCAGGCTTCCAACTTGCTTGAGACGTAGCTTTCGGGACTAAATACTTTTTGTGCGAGATGGTTTTCCATACACATCCTCGGTAACAAGCTAGTAAAACCATTTACTAAGTAAGTCATTAGCTTATTTTATGGTTGCTGGAGGCAAGTTTGCGCTGTAGTATATAAGTTGGTGCAATAAAGTAGTCTTTGTATAGGGTAAGAACTGGAACAAGAAGTACTAAAATATCATTTTAATTGTTGGCAAAACCTAGTAGCTCCAGAGATTCTAGAGCAT